TTAAGTGGAGAGGAAATGTTTTGAGAATGATGAGGGCAATGAATGTACAAATGCGCTTTACACAATTGATGTATGTATGGAATGTGATAAGAGTTGTATGAGCCCCTAATAAAATGATTTAAAAAAAAAAAAGATTCAGTCGCCTAAATAGATGTCCCCTCAGCCATTCCTTCAAGTTCACCTTGAAATCTCTTCCAACATTGGCTGCCTTTCTATTTATGTGCAAATGATACTTGTGTCCTATAACTTTTGTTTTTGTTAACCTATAAGAAAAATGTACAAAGTAAATTTATATAGATGTCCTTGTCTGTGATGACCCCAAAGACATGGAATGCACAAGTGTACTAATTCTCTTATAAGATAATTACTTCATCAAGGAGATTGATTTCTCATACTAATACACATAGCACCTTACAGATGATGCATGGTATTTGCAGGGTAGACCTGAGAATAATTTTGTAAAATTTGCAAACGAGGAAACTGCTAGCCCTGTCACGACCGATGCTTATATATAAAACATGAGTGCCTGGATACGCATTCTCTTCCCCACCAGCCAGTGCAAACTAAGATATCGATGTTCTGTCTCACCTGAAAGCAACCAAGATAACAAAGCCATATTATTTTAAAAGTTTCAACACTGTCCTCAATCAATCCCAGAGATTCGTTTTAACACAGTTTCGGGGGCCAAGGAAGGATTTTTAATTATTTTCTCCAAGATTCTCATAGCGTAAATTTACATTGTTTTGAACAAGAATCCTGTCTGGAATTCTTTCTGAACATCTTGAGTGTTCCCTGCCCATTTCTGGTTTATTGGGGTTAGCAGGAGAATGCAGAGTCCAGGTGAAAGTTCCTTTTTGCTCCAAACATACTCTCAGCATAAGATCAAACTACGGTCATCTGCCCCTCTCCTTGCCTGTTTGTGGCTTTCTAGATTTACTCTTCCACATCTGTAGTGTAAAATGATAGGGTAGTGGGTGGGATCAGGAGTCAGTGATAAAAGCCTCCAAGTGGTATACCGGTACAGATAGGAACTGAAAATACAGGGAATCCACGGCGGATGAGCCCTACAGGACCAGTGGTGTGAGTGGCGAAACAGGGAGGGTGGAGGGAGAGTGGGTAGGAAGGAGAACCGATTACAAGGAACTATATGTGACCTCCTCCCTGGGGGACAGACAACAGAAAAGGGGGTGAGGGGAGATGTCAGACAGGGCAAGATATGACAAAATAACAATTTATAAACTATCAAGGGCTCATGAGGGAGGGGGGAGCAGGGGAAAATGAGGACCTAATGCTGGGGGTTTAAGTGGAGAGAAAATGTTTTGAGAATGAAGTACAAAGGCGCTTTACACAATTGATGTGTGTATGGATTGTGATAAGAGTTGTATGAGCCCCTAATAAAACGTTTAAAAATAAATAAAACAATGATTATCACTAAAAAATTTAAAAAATGAAAAAGAACAAACAAACAAAATAAAAGCCTCCGAGTACCTTTAAGAACCACCTACTGGCCCTTTAACCAGTTATGGTAGACTTTCACTCCTGCAGACTCTGCATGCTGCATAGAACAGTGCCCGTAGTGTTTTGGAAAGCAGATCAGCAGACCTTTTTCTCTGGTAGACCTCTAATCTTTCCATTAGCTAGTTTAATATTTAAAAGTATAGAATTGCAAAGTCATGTAATTTTTCCATGCACCTTGTGAATCCCCCGCATATATGGATATATTTTAGGTTCACTTTAAAACATCTAACTGAAGAGAGTAGAATAAGAGGTATCAAGGGCAATATCAATGTCAAAAATCTTCTGGGGGTGTAAGGATTTTATGTTTATGAAAACAATAGTGAAAGTGTTTTTACGCCTGTGGAAAGAAGAGCAATCTCTGTGTACATCAGTTTCCTTTATTTTGGACATTAGAAAAGCAGAAGAAGCCCGGCCTCCTACAGAAAGGACTTGAAGAAAAGTTGGAGCCCTGAGACCCTTGCGCTTCAGTAGAGATGAAGGGAAGGACAGGAAAATGGAAATAAGGCACCTTCACCTTTCTAAGGTGCCTACGAGTTTGAACAACTCGATACAATGGGTTTAGTTTGTGGCTTTTTGTTCCCCTGAGAGCCTGTAAGCTACCCAGAAATTGTGATTTTGGTCTTTCTTTGAAGATGTAAACCACACCACAAATAGAAGCTTTGTGTTACTCTGTTAGAGAGCTCCAATAGTTAGAGATCTCCAATAGTTAGAGATCTCCAATAGTTGCACAACCATGCTGGATTGTGTTATTTACAAAAGGGTCACCAGATCTGTAGTAGCAGAGGTGCCTCATGGCTCATTGGCATATACATTTCTATACATGACGTAAAATGGGCTCACTCAAATCTACACATTTACTTTTGGTTAGATGTTAGGAATTGGAGCTGTGATTATTGCCATTTCGGTCAGCATGCTGCAATAATTACGCCCTGTCTACAAAAAGGGAGAAATGCTTTGTAGGTTTTCATTAGCTTCAAAAAGGGTAATTGCAAATATTTTGATACCTGACTTTCCGTTCAGGATACCAACAGAACGAGGCTCAATTTGCTAAATTACAACATAGGATTGAAAGGAAGGAAAATATTTTGTTGTTATGTTGATTTCCCCCCCAATTCAGACTCTGCATGTGTTTCTATCCCTAGGATAGAGCACCCCGATATATCACACAGTACCAGCCAAGACCAAATCAGTGTCCTGAAAATGGAAGAAAAAAAAATTTTTTAAATCAATTTATTGGGGCTCATACAATTCATCACAATACATAGATCAGTTGTGTAAAGCACATCTATACATTTGTTGCCCTCATCATTCCCAAAATTCGTTAGCCTCTAATTTTCCTGAAAATGGAAGAAAATTAAAGGATACATACTGCTTGTTATCAATGAAAATAAAGGCATCTACTGCCATTTCTTTAAGCGCCCTTTTAAATCTATGTCTGGTGCCATCTCTTCTTCAAAACCGCTATCTTCCCCATGCACCACCAGAGTCTTGAATAGATTCCAAAGCACTTTGGTTTTGAATTTATTTGATTTTGAATTTTTCCCCTTACTTTATATTTTGATGTATCTTATTTCTTAAAATTGTTATGAAAACATAGGTGAGACAACAAACAATAAGCAAACAGACAAATGCATTAGTGAGAATTGGGGGGCGGGCGGTTGGAGCGGAAACCCAAAGCCCATCTATGGACAATGGAACATCCCCCCAATGAGGGGTCGCAGGGAGGGGGTGAGTCAATCAGGGTGCAGTAGAGCACCGATGGTTCACGCAATATACCTCTGATCCCTTGAGTCCTCCTCACCCCCCACTATCACAACCCTAGTGCTGCTTCCCAGTCTGGAGTAGACATAGGTATACATAGGTATAGGCAAAAGATAAAATTCACAACACATGGAACCCAGGCACAGGAATGGGACTAGAGATACCGAAAGGGTTCAGTGAGAGATTTGAAAATAATTAACAATCTATAATCTATCAAAGGGCCACCAGGCTTGGGGGAAGGGAGGGAGGAAAAACAGATCCCAAGGGCTCAATGGAAAGTAAATATCTAGAAAAACAACGATGGAATATATGTACAAATATGTCAGATACAATTGATGTATGGATTGTAACAAGAATTGTAAGATCCCCCCCAATAAAATGACATTAAAAAAAAAAACCCATAGGTGACACACATTTGGTAATTGGTTTTTTATGTGTGTAATTTGAAACGAATCAGGTACCACTGTCACCAATATCAATTGCCAAATTTTCCATTGTTGCAAACAAAAATTCAATACACTCCTTTCCCTCTTGCCCCTGGTAACCATTATCAGGTTCTGGCCTCTTCAAGGTATTTGATATCTTTTTTTTTTATTTAACTATTTTCGTTTCAGTGTCTAAAATGCCAATAGAAGGATGGGGAGGCACAAGAGATCAAAAGCTGACATGAGATCAAAAGGTGTTGTGTGTGACACGCTTGCAGAAAGGCAACCAAGTGACTATATAGCTCCCAATCTTGTGGACAGAGATGTATTAATTAAGCAATACAAACGGTCCCACAGATGAGGGACAACAATCAGAGCCGAGAACCAACTGAAAATAAGGGATGCCCTAGAGGAAAAATTCGAGGTGGGAGATGATTGTTAAATCATCTTTGGAAAAAGTAGGGTGGGAGATTCCTATGTGGACTTCACCGCTTACATATCCTAAACCTAGCTATGGGGAAATTATCAGTCATAAATTCTATCTATCTAAACCATGGGCAATATAACAAATCCACTATTGTATCGTCTGACCACAGGTTTAGGCAGACCAGAGGTTTAAACTAAATTTGCTTCTGTTTGCAGGACTGTCACGTTGCGATAAATAAAAGGAGCCTGGCTTTAAGAGTCGCATTCTGTTTGCAGACAATCCGTTTCAATCCTTTGTCCCCGCGGTCCAACTCGAAAACAGTAACCTTGGCTACTGTTGATGCTGAGGAACGCACGCCAGATTTCCAGTTCTATATTCAGGTTTAGGGAACTGGTTATGTTTAAAGGGGGGGAAACAACCATTTCTCTTTGTCCGGGTTACTGACTCCGGAGAAGCACTCCTCAGACTGTTCCGAGGGCAAACAATGAGTCATTCATGCTGCCAGCCCAGGCGGTGCACGCAGCTCAGACGGATGTGCAGTGCGCCCCGGGGCCACCGCCCGCGGGGAGCCCGCCGCACTGCGCCTCCCCGGATTCCCGCAGCCGCGGGGAGGTGGAGGCAGGGCGTCCTGGAGCAGCCCGAGCTGGAAACGGACAGACGGGCCTCCGGTAACCAAGGCTGTACCTCCGCGGTGCCAGTCCCCAGGGGCCGCCCAGAGCTGTTTGTCAGCCTGTGATTGGCTTAGAGGAGGGGTGGAGAAAGGACAACACGTTGCCCAGGATATATTTAGTTGAAGGGCAGCTTGGGACGTGCTTAGACAAGGGAGCTTTTGTCTTTATGCTCAAGTGAGCTGTTACACTCACACACACCCACACACACACCCCACACACACCACCCCTCCTCCACCCATTCCTCAAGGGTTGAACACCTTAAGCCACATACTGATTTGCTTCCCACCTCTTCCGCGGAGGATGTTTTTCATCTGAGAATTTAGAATTTTCTGGGGTTTGTTATAGAAGAAACTGAACAACCCCTCTGCATAACTGACTCCAATTCAAAGCACAAACGTTTATTGGAAGGCACCATTTCTAAATCAGATGATTTCCTAAGGTGCCCGTGTGAGTTTGGATTCTTACAACTAATTTCCTGTAGCTTCCAAATGAGTATTCGGTGTTTTCAAATGCCCTGACTTGGACAAACTTATGCAGTCTAAGCTATAATTAAGTTTTATAAGCTGACAGTAGTCTGTTTCACTTGAGTTGATCCATATTTTCCAGTAATGAAAGATGAACTTCTGCACTGCTGAGCACAGCTTCCTTGCAACAGATTACTGACGAGCCATGTAATGGGCCCTCTTCTGTCCTCCTCTGAACTGGCTGAGAACTGCTACCTTGGTGCAAGGCTTCACAACCAATATGTAAATACTTTGTGCATGGGTGTGTGTGTGTGAGGGGGAGCATTGTCTGCTATTCAGAAATAGCACAGGAACTATTTTACATGAAAATCTCATTTGCAGTTACGAACCAGGGGCAGAAACATTTGAACTAGAAGGCCCTGTGGTTTGGTCTTTTGTTCCATTTTTGTTTTTCACATAGAAAATCTGGCTAACGACACTATTACAGGTTTTTTTTTCACTTGTTAAATTTTAAAGTATTTGAATACTTGCTAGGTTAAAGATGTTTCAAGGGTATGAAAACGAGCAGTACATCTTCAGAGATCTGATAATTTTGTGAATATGTTCCCTTTCTAACTAAAGTCTGACAAGTATTGAAGGTAGAACATTTGCCTCTACAGAAAGGACAGTGTAAGTCCGAGAAGTTAAGTGGCTCCTACTCCGGGTTACAGGACTTGGTTTCCAGCTAAGTTAAGTTTCTGTGGTGAATACAGGTGACCTGGGTTACAGCCAGGATTTGATACCCAGGTAGCAACTGCTGGTGGTAAGAGATCCCTGGAGGATGGAGGTGGCATTGTCTTTGGTGTTTCTGGCAGCCTTGCATTTGCAAAAGGAAATAAGAGACATTTTGTTGGAAGTTCTTGCTCACTTCTGTTTTAAGACCATTCCCGCTAATACCACACCCCCCCCCCAAAAGAGTAAAATTTCTTTTTAATAAAAATGGGAAAGGAGTGAGAGCTTAAGAAAGTTTTCTTGTATTTTATGTGATACTTTTCCAAATATTTCATTTTGGAAGTATAACCTTATCTCATATCTATTTATTAAACAATACTTTATGATAAGCCAAACATCTTGCAGGAGTCAGAAAGAATTTTTACCTGGCTTCTTTCATTCAGCATTATGTATTTTCTATTCATGCATGTTTTTGTATTTAGCGATAGTTTGTCCTTTTTATTGTATGGAAATACACAATTTGCTGATCCAATGCACCTGTTGAAAGTTTGGATGATTTCCAGTTTGAGCTATTATAAATAACATTGTTATGACCATTTGTGAATACATTTCTGTGTTGACCAGCTTTCCTTACTCTTGGATGAAGATCTAAGAGTGGAGATCCTGGATCATATGACAAGTGGAGTCATTTCAAAATGTATCCCACCACTTTGACCACTCTCCCTTTAGAGAGCTGGGATCGTCGTCATTGAATAAAGTGTGAGAGTCACGGCAGCTCAGCCAGTACCCTTTTCAGCATTGCTGCACTAGCTTGATTACTGACGCAGAAGCATTGGAGTTTGCCTTCTTGGAAAAGTACTTTCAGATGCCTCAGAAATTGGCAAGAAGTAGAGACTCCTGCCCCTTCTGAACTGTGGCAGCCATGGATTTTTACACCCAAGAATGTATCACCTGCCTGGTGTTGGACAGATCCTGAGCACTTGAGACATCTGTTCCTGTATTACCATGAGCAACTGACAACTGAAGAAGAGATCTCTAGAAATACTGGGTTACTTAGTGACAAGCAGGTGGCTTTCACCTGTATTTCATTTTCTCTTATACAAGTACCTGTTTTTTAATTGATCTCAATAAAATGTTGATAAGGGAAAAAAAGAGCTGGAATCAAATGCCTTTCCATAGACTTACTGATTGGCTTCTAGTGAACATAATATAATCTGATCAAGTCATATTATGTGTAATTCTGGTGCTAGGTCATTAAAAGGATATTACCTCCTTTCTCTCCCCTCACTCATTCTGGAGCTCTTGCCTTGGGAATAGGCTCTCTGTAAGGAAATCCAGCCCACAGGGAAAAGCCTGTGTGACGATTCCAGACCATAGCTCCAGCCAAGGCACAGTCAACACCAGCATCAACTACTAGTCATATATGTGAACAAACTTTTAGACAATTCCATACCCAGCCTTTCAAGTTTACAGCTGAGGCCCCAACACAGTGGAGCAAAGACAGCAATCCCCGACAGCATTCTGTCTGAATTTCTGACCCATAGAAACGCTGACAGATTAATACAAAATAGTATTGCTATTTATGCCACAAAGTTTGAGGGTAATTTGTTCTGCAATAATAAACGTAGTAGATGGTGATGAATGTTATAAGAAGCTGAGAAACTGTTCTTCCAAGTGTTTTCATTGGTTTGCACTTCGACAGCAGTCTGTGAGGGTCTCAGGGCCACCATTCTCACACACACTTGATAGCATGAAGTCCAAGTTTCGCTTGTTTAGTGGTCATGGAATTAGTTATTTCTCAATTGTGAATTAATTTCATTTTCCTGTTAACATCATATCCGATTTTGTTCAGCAATATAATTTATTCTTCATCTTAGAAATCCACCTATTCATTATGATATAAACATATCTCACAAAACGAATTGATCCTTGCCCCGATGTTGAAGAATTTATGTTTACATCTCCAATTAAAATATTAATAATAATAATCATTGTAACCAGGGAAAATGGGGAACATTGCTTAAAGGGTGAGAGTTTGAGTCTGCTCCCATTGACTTGATTCTGACTCATATCAACTCTGTAGGACAGGGTAGAACTGCCTCTTTGGGTTTCTGAGACTGTAAATCTTTACTAAAGTAGATAATCTCATCTTTCCCCATAGTGTCGTAGACTTTGTAGCTAGCAACTTATACCTTGAAGCTAGTAGTCCAAAAGACTATGAAAAATTTGGAAATGGATAGATGGTGAATATAATTAATGTCACTGAATTGCACATGTAAGAGTGGTTGAAATATATTGTTATATGCATTTCACCATGATAACAATTTAAATAACATTATACAAAATGAGTTTGTATACTTATTACCCACATCATGATTTCTCAGGTTGGTTTGAAAATCCTCAGAAAGCTGAGGAATAAAGTCTTTATATTTATCAAGATGGGGTTTCTAATCTGAACTCTACTATAGCCTATTTTTCATTAGTCCTGATATTACTACTATAATTAGAAAATCCTATTTTCCAAGGGCTTTCCACATATATGAAGGTAGCCCTGTAGGTGCTGTGGATTAGGAATTTGGCTGCTAACCACAAGGTTGGCAGTTCAACCCCACCAGTCTCTTTAGGGGAGAAAGATGAGGTTGTTTGCTCCCTCAGAAACCCTCAGGAGCAATTCCGCGTTGTCCTACACAGAATCACTCTGAGTCAAACTCGACTTCATGGCAGGGATTTCACATATATGAGCTCACAACACAACTACACTATGAGGCAGGTAGTATCCTCATTGGATTCCCAAGGACATAGAGGCTTCGAGAATTCAGGAAACTTGGCTGTAGCCACACAACTGAATTTGAACCCAATACTGTTTCCTTGGATTCTTTTGCTTCTTCATATGTTTATACCAGCCTATAAGTAAATGCTGTGGCCTAACGGGTGCAGTGGAAAATATTCTAGACCAGGAGTTAGGAGACTAGGTTTGGTGCTGTCATTAGTCAATAGTCCCCTTTGGGTCAAGTTGCTTTCTGGACAAAATTTGCTCATTATTAAAAATAAAAGGTTGAGTTTAGGCTTTTATCCAGTTCTTAAACATCACAACCAGGCACTGCCCTAAGTGAAATGTAAATATTGACTCGCTTACACCTCATAAAAGCCCTCTGATTTGGTACTATTACTGTGCTTATTTTATAAAGAAGTAAACTGAGTCAACAGAGATTTAAGTAATTTTGCCAAAGGCACAAAACTAGTCAACCCAGGGAGTCTTGCTTCAAAGTTCAAGATCTTATTAGAAACTAGCAACATTTATTTATTTTTATTTTTTAATCATTTTGTTGGGGGCTCATACAACTCTTATCACAATCCATACATCCATCAATTGTGTAAAGCACATTTGTACATTCGTTACCTTCATCATTTTCAAAACATTTGCTCTTCACGTAAGCCCCTGACATCAGCTCCTCATTTTCCCCCCTCCCTCCTCGCTCCCCCCTCCCTCATGAATCCTTGATAATTTATGAATTAGTATTTTGCCGTATCTTACACTGTCAGCCTTCCCTGCAACAAAAGTGTGTTGAAATGACCCAGTTCCTTCAGGTTTTCACATTTGTTGAAGTATTCTTTTTCTTGATACTCTGCTACGATCTTATTTCTCTCTATTGG